TACAGTCCAGGAGGTTCCTCCAGTGCATTGATGATAACTTTTTGACTCAGGTGGTGGAGGAGCCAACAATGAGAGGTGTACTACCGGACTTAGTACTGACAAACAAAGAGCGACTGGTGGAGGATGTTAAGGTTGGGGGCAGACTTGGCTGCAGTGATCATGAGAAGACAGAGTTCAGCATCAAGCGCAGTATGCACAAAATGACAAGTAGGGTTGAAATCTTAATCTTCAGGAGGGTGAACTTTGATCTCTTCAAGGAACCACTTGGAGAAATCCCATGGGCAAAAGCTCTTGAGGGTAAGGGGGCTCAAGAGAGCTGGTTGATATTTAAGTATCACTTCCTCCAAGCTCAGGATTGGTGCATCCCTAAGAGCAAGAAATCAGGCACGGGAAGAAGGAGACCTGCATGGCTGAGCAGGGAGCTTCTGAAAAAGCTGAAGTGGAAGAAGGAGGTTTACAGTAGGTGGAAGAAGGGGTTGACTGCTTGGGACAAGTATAAGAATGCTGTCAGGGTATGCAGGGATGAAATGTAACGTGCTGTAGGTGACCCTGCTCTGGCAGGGGGGTTGGACTAGGTGATCTCCAGAGGTCCCTTCCAACCCTAACAATTCTGTGAATTCTGTGAGAAGACAGAGTTCAGCATCAAGTGCAGTATGCACAAAATGACAAGTAGGGTTGAAATCTTAATCTTCAGGAGGGTGAACTTTGATCTCTTCAAGGAACCACTTGGAGAAATCCCATGGGCAAAAGCTCTTGAGGGTAAGGGGGCTCAAGAGAGCTGGTTGATATTTAAGTATCACTTCCTCCAAGCTCAGGATTGGTGCATCCCTAAGAGCAAGAAATCAGGCACGGGAAGAAGGAGACCTGCATGGCTGAGCAGGGAGCTTCTGAAAAAGCTGAAGTGGAAGAAGGAGGTTTACAGTAGGTGGAAGAAGGGGTTGACTGCTTGGGACAAGTATAAGAATGCTGTCAGGGTATGCAGGGATGAAACAAGGGAAGCCAAGGCAGCCTTGGAATTGAACCTGGCAAGGGATGTTAAGGTCCATAGGAAGGGTTTCTTTAAGTATATAGGAGGCAAAAGGAAAACTAGGGAAAAAGTGGGCCTGCTGTTGAACGAGACAGGTGCCGTGGTGACAGATGATGCAGAGAAAGCGGAGTTGCTAAATGCCTTCTTTGCTTCTGTCTTCACTGTTCGGGCCAGTCCTCGGGAGACCCAGACTGCAGGTAACAGAGAAAGTCTGGGGGAAGCAAGACTTTCCCTTGGTTGA